CGTGGATCAGGAATGGCAAGATATGTGGACTGGGCAGTACCGGTGGTAAACTTTTACTGGATACCTCCGTAAGTAACCCTAGAACTTGCATAATCTTGCCTAAACATGTACCAGCATTTCTAATAAACGAACTCTGTTCAAGGGACCTTACAGCTATTAGGTTACCCAGAAACAAGCAGCCAGACGTCGTCCTGGCGTCCGCCTACTTACCAGGTGACGAGGACGTGCCCACTCCAGAACTCGGCCTTCTGGCTGACTACTGTGAGAGGAAGAAACTGGAGCTAATCATCGCGGCAGACTCCAATGCACACCATACGCTATGGGGTAATGCCAACGCTCGAGGTGAGGATATGCTTAATTTTATACTTAGCAAACAATGGCTCAAAACCAACTTTTATTAACGCACGTTCACAAACTATTATTGATTTAACAATGGTAACTGCTGGTCTGTCAGATCAGGACTGGCACGTATCCAGCGAGGTATCATGCTCGGATCATAGGTGGTTCCGCTTTGCAATCAAAGGGGAGCTACCTAAACCACAACCAAGACGCATACCTCGGAGAACCGATTCGGTAAAATTCTACAGACTTATGCTAATAAGTCCGAGGTAGACAAACTATCGATACCAACCACCATTAATATACAAGATATAGACAAACATGTAAACAACCTAACGTCCCTACTCCTGACAAGCTATGAACGGTCGTGTCCCCTTACCATACCAAGGTGGGGGGGGGAGACACAACTGGTGGTGCCCCGAACTGGAGAGACACCGACGGAAGGTCAGGAAGCTGTTCAATAGAGCAGTGAATACACGGTTACCCACCGACTGGGACAAGTACACGGTCGCGAGAAGGCGATTCAAAAAACTATTACGTACTAGGAAGCTAGAGTGTTGGAGACACTTTTGCACCAGTATTTAAAACAACAACCAGGCAACCGGGGTGAAATCATGCCTCTGCAGAGAGCCCAATCACTCGATCGGTTGTCTTAAAAAACCTGACAACTCATTTACAAAAACTGACTCAGAAACATGTGAACTACTACTAGCAACACACTTTCCGGGTTGCATAATTGCCAATGAACAGGCCTGGCAACCATACTCAGAGAGAGCCACCGACAGCTCAGACTGGCAAGTAGCTCACATAATAATCACTAATGAAAAAGTAACGTGGGCAATCAACTCCTTCCTACTATTCAAAGCGGCTGGTCTGGACGGCATCTTCCCAGGTCTACTTAGGTGGAGTGGGAACTTAATAGTAGACTATCTTGTCTCTGTCTTCCGAGCCTGTATAGCCCACCGGTACATACCCTTGAAATGGAGGGAAGTAAAAATCATATTCATCCCAAAACCAGGTAGAGCGGACTATACCCAAGCGAAGTCCTTCAGGCCCATAAGCCTTACTGCATTCTTCCTAAAAACGATGGAGAGGCTGGGAGACCTGGAGATACGCAGCCGGGTATCGCTAGCCAAATTCCTACATCCTAATCAACATGCCTATAGCTCAGGCAAATCAACGGACTCATCACTCCACAACGTCGTGTCTCGCATTGGCAACTCCTTGAAGTTAAAGCAGTCAACCCTTGGTGCATTTATTGACATCGAAGGCGCTTTTGACAAAACAAACTTCACGAGTATAACCAGAGCATTAAGGACATGTGGAGTACCATCAACCCTTATAGAATGGATAAACAACATGCTAAAACAACGAACTATACAGTTCACTGTAAACTCCACAACACGAGGCATTGTCAGCAGAGGATGGCCACAGGGAGGTGTTCTATCGCCGCTACTGTGGAACCTTGTAGTTAATGAACTTATCACAGAGCTCAACGCTGACAATCTCTACACAGTGGGTTATGCTGACGACATAGCTATTTTGATATCTGGGAACTTTGAAAGCACCTTATGTGACCGCATAAGAAGAGCTTTCAAAGTGATTGAGAGATGGTGCATTGTGCACGAATTATCTGTCAACCCATCTAAAACAGATTTTATACTCTTTACCAACCGAAGAGTTCTTGGACAGTACAGACTTCCGAAACTCTTCAACACTGAACTCAGACTTAAGAATGAAATCAAGTACCTAGGTGTGATCTTGGATAGTAAACTGCTCTGGAACAAACATCTAGAACACAAACTAAACAAAGCAACGATCGCCTTCTATCAATGCAAAAAGATGCTAGGCGTGAAATGGGGCCTGTCGCCTAAGATAACTATATGGCTATACACTGCCATTATCAGGCCAATGCTAGCCTACGGAACCCTTGTTTGGTGGCCTAGAACAGAACTTCAAACGGCAATTACTAAACTTGGACGCTTCCAAAGGCTTGCTTTGTCCGCTGCTAGCGGTTGCATGAAAACAACACCAACTGCAGCAATGGAGATGGCCCTGCAGATCTTACCTCTAGACCTACACATACAGCAGGAGGCAGCCCTGGCTGCTATCAGGCTTATGGTACTGGATCTATGGGGAAAAAATCACTATAGTGCACACACAGCGATTCTCAACAGGGCGATAGAGTATCAACCTCTTATAGCTGCGCCCTGTGATAGAATCACTAACCAACTAATATTTAACAGGAAATACCACATACAACTGAGAGAAGAGGAACATGATCGGTCGACCATGAATGAGCTACGTATATATACGTCAGGTCTGGCTCAGTCGCTGGCATATTCTCTCTTGATCTCAACATCAACATACACCTACCCCTGGGCACACAGAGCACGACCTTCAATGTGAATGTGTCGCATTAACCGAAGCAGCCAGAGCCGTGCAACGTCGGGGGATTAATGACTTTTGCATTAGATTCGTATCCGACAGTGCATCCGTGCTGATGGCGCTTGGAAACAAAAAAACCAACAGCAAACTAATACTGGAGTGTCATGAAGCACTGGAGGCCATAACCCGAACCAATAGGGTTACCTTGCAGTGGATAAAGGGACGCAGTGGATCTCTCGGCAATGATGCTGCTGACGAGCTTGCGAGAAGAGGCTCCGGAATGATGCCTGCTGGCCCGTATCCGCTCCTCCCCTTGCCCTTCTCGCTGGTGCGAACCTGGATTCGCCAGAGATCCGCTGAACTCCAGCAACAACGATGGTCGCATAGTGCGGTCTGCAAACAGTCCAAAATGGCTCTGCCAGCAGTGAACCCGCAACTGACAAAGCGACTACTAAGCTTAAATAGAACCAACCTTAAAACAATGTTAGGGACAATAACGGGTCATTGCCTCCTAAATAAACATCTTTTTGTCCTAGGCGCGACAGACAGCCCCCTGTGCAGAGAACTGTTTCAGCGCAGAGGAAACAGTCACCCACGTAGTCCTGGAATGCGAGGCTGTGGCTAATCAACGTGAAAAATCCTCGTAACGGTGAGGTCGCTCCGGGAAGCCTGTGAAGTGCCCAGGAGACTTCTGTGCTTTTGGAAGGAGCTAGGCTGGCTAAATTAGCCAGGACTCGTACGCACAACGGACCAATTAAGAGTCTAATTGCGGAGAAAGGAGTCCCAACTACCCTATACCTAGTAAGACATCGCTCAGTGGCGATTAGGCCCCCTGTATTATTTTTCTTTTTTTAAGGACAGTGGTACCTCGATATAGTGTTATGATATAAGAGCAGGCGAGTGAGCGATATTTTGCTTCGAGATTCCATCTCAAACTAGATCTGTCTGTGTGCTTGTTTACCTCGTTTTCAAAGCATTTTTGAGATTTTCGTGGTTTTGCTTGTTGTACATTTACCTATTATTATCACATTTATTTTTATAGCCATTGGTCCGATGAAGAAGATGTCTATTACATTAAAGCGTGAAATCATTTTCTTATTCAAAACGACTGAGGTGGTGTTTTGGCACCTGAAGCGGAGGAATGGCTTTTAAATTTATTTCAACGGTGAAAATTGCTCTGAGAACGAGAAAGGTTACTGATTTAACTCCAATTAGAGGTATACATATTCTTAAAATGTATTATTATTTAATTCTAGTGTAGTGTAAATAAATAAAAATTTATGTGTATGTATAATCGTTCAACACAATGAGTTATTATCTATAATCACCTATTAACTACTACTCCCATGACATACTAGCTTTTATGGGCGATAACGATGTACAGGAAATGCGTATTTTCTATAAAGTACTTTTATAATTGGCACAAAAAGTCATTACAATTCTTAAATAGGACTGAGGTATAGGGAAGCTAAAACGAAAAAGCAATAAAAAAAATTGGCATCGGCCTACATACTTTATTTCATAATCATACAATTATTATTGCAAGTTGTATTCATGCAATTGGTAAACATAAAGTGGACCCTAACACATCAGAAGAAGTCCAACAGAATTAACATAACTTAGAATGGAATGAATTTTAAAGGAGTAGGTAAAATAATTGTAATATTACAATACAATTTTGTATAATTAGTAGCTAGTACATTTTAAACACATTAATAAATGTAAATTTAACTCACCATATTGGCCTTACACACTCTAATAGTTTTAACTATTTATTCTTCAATAAAAGAAGCAAAATTGAAAAACCTTTTTCTTTTATATGTAAGACAAAACTTGCAGTAGAATCATACTGGCCAGTTTCTATAAAAAAACTACATAAGAATATTTGTATAATTTGGCCTGCACCAGACTATGAAAAAATGCAGTGTTTACAATTGCATTGTGGAACTCTTAACAATATTGGTTTTATTAATAAAAACTGCAATCTGAATTATCAGCATGAGCGAGCTTTGATCATAAGCTTATCATTAGATACCACCTCTAATATAATTCTATCTACTCTATGTTATAAAAATAACAGCAAGCATTTATTTAACTGGTGTTTTAACTATTCTGATATTTTATAAGTATTATATAGCAAACCCTTACAAGTGTTGATAGTTTTAGAATATTGTCTTGTAAGCAAGAATATATCATTGAAACTGATCCATTAACATGTCCCTTCTTCATTTAGTGCAGGCGATTAAAATACCTATATCTCTAGATAAGTAAATCTAATGTATAGCAATGAGTCCTGACTCTAGTAGCTTTTGTATTTTTGCAGCAATCTCTGGATTTTTAAGATGGTCCTGTAATGCATGTGGGTCTTGCTGCATTTGTTCAAGGATGCATCTCATAGCTGGATCCCGGAGTATTTGCTGTACTTCTGGATCTGACATGGCTCGCTTGCGGACCTGTGAACAAACATTAAAGATATTTATTAAACTTTAAATTAATTGCATTAGATAAATTAATATATAAATCGCAATTACAAAATTTATTAATGAAAAGATGTTAGAAATAAAATACATTATTTTTATAATTCCGTTGAAGCTGTGGTATCATTTTATAATTGAATTGACTTAATGTTGTCAAAACGTATTTTAGTCCTGGCATATTTATTGTTTATCATGTAAAATTAATTGCATTTATGTATTGAATAATTCATAGCTAATTTTATAAAAGCATGTTTAAAACCATGTCAATTTGAAAATATATTTTCTAGTTAAAAGTAGGGATAAGTCAATACAAGTTTTACTAACCTCTTCAGGGTTAGAGTTAAGTTGTGTGGAGCAGGCACGGTATCCATCCAGGGCCTCAGCATTGCTGGGATCTAACTCCAATGCCTTTTGGTATGCTGTGAGAGCTTTAGAATGCTGTTGCATGCCCTAAAAATAAAAATAGTATGTGTCTATTTTCAATTATATTTAATTTAAAAATTGATGAAATACCAGTCCACAGACTGTCAATTAAAAGTAAGTCCAAAAGTTTGAATATATGTAGCTGTGGACTAAATTTTTCTTTTACTTGCACATAATTTATACATGCAATGAAGACCAAACAATAAAAATAAAATGGCATGTATTAGTTAGACCTAAAAAATTTACAATGTACAAAATGTACAAAAAGCTGGTCACCTAATTACCTAAAGATTCAGTGTCAATAAATAAATAATAAGAAGCTATCATGGATGCTATATATCTGCCCCCGATCCCAATTTATGGTGGCTTATATAATTTTTTATATTTACTTTATCTACAAATTCATTTGCAAAAACATAAACATGAAAAAGTCAATAAGGGAGCGTACAAGTATTACGTCACGCAAAGATTATTGACCCCCACCCGTGTAACGCGCCGTAACGTTTTTCTGTACCCAAGTATAGTAAAACGTTTCTTGACCACCTAGTTACTCTTTATACCTAAAAGTTACCATTATGTGGTGTAAATTATTGCAAAGTCAAAAATAATATTAACGCGTAATTCAATCCCCGCCCTGCATCGTAACGTTTTACAAAAGGACCCCCCCCTCTCCAAAATTCGTTACGTAATAATTGAACGCTCCCTAAATAAACTAAAACACTTATTCAAAACTCAAACCTGCAAAATCTTGCCCTTTCGGATCCAGCCTTTTATAAACTTAGGATCGAGTTTGCAACACTTTTCACAATCTCGGAGCCCAAGGTCAAAGGCAGCTAGTTTGGTGTAACAGGCTGCTCTGTTTGAGTAAAGCTTAGGGTCGTCTGGGTTACGTTGAATGGCTTCTGTGTAATGCTTCATAGCTGTACTGTAGTCACCTATAATAACAATAAAAGTTAAGGAAAATTTGAACAAAATTTATCAACATCATATGAACAGTAAAAATGTTGATTTCTTACCTTGGTATTTTTTTATAATAATAATAATTTTTATTAATCAGACAAATACAGTCCATTGATTGATTAGTGAGTTAGTAACAATAGTTTCTTAAGATCTATGTTAGAGAATTAGTAAAAATAAGGAAAAAGTAGTGAAATAAAAACTATCAGGTACAAAGCCCTGCGGAGATGTCGGAGCAGTGTCGTAAATAGGGGCACTCCATTCTTTCGACTATCATCCGTTCGTATCCGTCATATCATTCAAGCATAAAAGCTATCTTGTAATACATAAATAATTAAATTTTTGATAATACATAATTCTTTATGAAGTTCCAACTAGATAAATCATATATATCTGATTGAAACTATATCAGTGTGTTTAGATGAGTAAAACCTAGTATGTTTTAGACATTCATTGCTTTATCTAGGTTAACACAATATATTTTTTTAAATATAAATAACAAGACTATCAAGCATTGGCACTGTATTAGAGATAATATTTAAGATATAAGGTCACTCATACTACAATTCAATAATTAAGATTTCTCCGCTATTATTATATTAGTAGTGTTATAGCAAAGAAGACAAAATATGTGCTTTTCATAAACAATCCCTGTTTAACCACTGTTTCTAACAAAAAATCTAGATTAATTATTTTAATTTATTTTGTTAATATTTAGATTGCAAATAACCAAGTACTTTAAAAAGAAAAGGAAATGTACCTTTTTTGAAGAATTTGTTGCCCAGTTCCTTCTCCTGTTCAGCTTTCACTGGGTCAACATATGCCTTTTTTTCTTCTTCAACTATCTTCTTTTCAACCTCACTTAGAAGAGTCTTGATCTCCGGAGTACGATGTTCAGACATAGACTTTTCATAATATGTTCTGGCCAGCTTCCATTGCTCCATCTTTTTATAAGCATTACCTAGAATAAATTTTAATATATAATAATCATTTAATTTTATGATAATTATAATTAACTGCAGCTAATATTCAAGTTTTGAGATAAAGTAAATAACGAAATCTCTTTCTTGTCTCATGGAAATTGAAGAAATCTAATTTTCAAATAGAAAAACCAATTCATAGGAATAAGTCTGGTTGTTTATGATTTACAAAGGTAAATGTCTCACCAATTCTAGTAAATGCTTTTGCAATCAATTTATAGTCTGCTCTATTCTCTCTTCCTATTTCAATTGCCTTTTCACATTCTTTGACACACTTCTCATATTCTTTTTGCTCAAAGAAGACGGCAGCTACATTTGTATAGAAAGTAATATCAGCTGGGTCATGTTCAATTGCCTTATTGTAGTGTAGCAAAGCATTATCAAAGTCTTTCTTCTTATAAAACTCATTTCCAATGTCTTTTTCTTGTAATGCCATCCTTCTATTTTCTGGCATATCTTCGTAGTTAGGTTTAGGCGGTTCTTGTTTTGGTGGGGGAGTCGGTTTTGGCTCTGGAGCTGGTTGATCTACATCCATAGGAGATCCAAGATCTACACCGAGCATAACACTTAGTGTTGCCAACATTCTTTTATCTTCCATTAATTTCCCATCTAAAGAGCCCTGTGACCCTGAACCCAGTTTCTAAAACAAAATTTAACACAATAAGCTTTAACAAAGAAACATTAACAATGACTCATCAACATTTATGTTAATAGCAAAGTTTTGGATTGTTACTTTAGTGTAATAAAAAAAACAAATACCTTGACCATTTTGACATATTCAGGGTCATCAAGCCATTCCCTAGTTTTTGGATCAGCTTTAAGTTTTTCAAAGAGCTGTTCTGTTCTCAATTTTGTTTCCTCTGCTTGTTTTTTCACTTCTGCCAGACCAGAAGCTAGCTGTTGGTTACCAGGTTCCAACTCCAACCCCTTCTCGTAAGCGGCAATTGCTTCTTCATGGTCACCAAGATAAGCTAAGGCACTACCCTTTCTAGAATAACCTTTACTCCATGAAGGGTTAATTGACACGCATTTGTTAGCGTCTTCCAGAGCCGCCGCATAGTTACCGGCCTTAGCGTGTGCGGCTGATCGATTACTATATAAAACGTGGTTGTTTGGATCTAATGCAATGCCTTCTGCGTAGAACTTAATGGCTTCATCGTATTTACCCGAAGATAAAGCAGCATTACCTTTCTCTTTTAACTGATTAACCTAAAATTATTTATTAGTTTTAGATTTGCAATAAAAGAACCAAATCAGTAATCTAGTATAACCTTACCTGTTCCATGATTAGACAAAAAATTTAAAATGGGAATGTACTTGAAAATATTAGTACACCAAAAAACTATTGCACTCAATATTATAATTTCACTTTCGGCTTCGTCGTACTCTCTAGAAATCTAGAAATAATCTAAAATATCAACGATGGACACTGACAAATCAAATTCGAGAAAATTCTCGCTTCACGAATTTCAAACAGCTGTCGGTGTTCTAAGCCGAATAAATAAATTTTAAAAATTAAATTAAAACTCAGGGTTTTATAAGCAAATATATATTTTTCTAGATAAATTACTAACTGTAATATATGTATATAAACTAAAAAAGTTTGCTTTTCTTGCCCTAAAGGCATTGTATAGTCTGTAAGTTACCATAATTTTTGTAAAAGCAATATTTTTTGTCTGTATTTATTAACTGTCCAAGCAACTTAGCAAGTGTCACGCCGATCCATCATATTCATCCATCACTAATCGCAGTTCGTTACCTATTTTGCGGTATTCGTGATTGTGATTTACAGGCATTGTGGGGAATACCAAGTGATTTCATGCTAATCGATGGCTCTTTGAGGATTTCCGTGGATAACTGAAGGCGGTCAGCGCGTTCCCGCTATTTCTGGTGACTCATCTAGACTCCATAAACTCGTCACTATGGACACGGACGATGGTGAATCTTCAAGCAGCGGGCCTATGTCCAGCTTGAATAGCTTATTTTCTTTCACAAGCCCCGCTGTAAAGAAATTGCTTGGGTGGAAACAGGTAAGTCAGATCATTAAAAACGGAAAGTAATCTACTGCAAACAAACTTGCATTTTAGTTATAGAGATACTATTACTTATTATCATTTCAATATTTAAAAGTTCTAATATTACTTGTAGAAACTTATTATATAAATATGTACTTGGCAAAGGCTATTTAAAATTATAGTAGTCTTTTTTTTCTCCTTATAAAAGAAAGAGCAAACAACTGTTTTATGTCTATTCCTTGAAACTCATTTAAAAGTATATGGATAGAGTTAGGTATGTGTCTTTATTTTCCCCTGTAGAAGCATACTTTGTCTATACATATAGAACATTAGACTTAATGGGAAAACCAAGTTAATCAATACAACTTAGTATGTTATACACACTGAGTATTGCGAAACTTGTTTTTTTTTCTAGAAAATAGAGTTTTTTTGACAATGAGAATATATCAGCCTTCTTAAATAAAGTTAGAAAACAAAGTTTTCAAGGTACTAAAATACAACAATGTTTCTCTATGTATTTAATAGTAAAAGTCAAGCAATGCTTTATAATAATGTTTAAAATTCATATCTTGTTTAAATAAGATTAAAATAATTAACAAAAAAATGTTTTGTATTGGATACATCACTTATAGAGAAATTCTCCATAGAATAAAATATGCTAATTATGGAACATAATTATACAGGTATCACTTATTCCACGTGATTAATTTTGAATCATATAGGCGCAGAGAAAAAGACGGCTTTAAAAACTCTCAGTACTCTTTAAAAAAAGCAAATCATCAAACAACACTTATTTTAAAACAAATATCGCAAATTATTATTATATTACTATTCATTAGTTCTGCAGCTTACGCGGCTAAAAAAATTTGCTCACTAACTGATGTTGTTAGCTAGACTTGTTTATTTTATTTACTTTCACAGCTTAATGACTTATTATTATGGGCCTATGGGGTCATGCTGCTGATATCGAAACTATTTTCATTATCAATAAGCCTTAAGTAATTTTTTTTTAAAATAAATTAGAAGTAGCCTATCTAGCATTAGTCCCAGGCCCTTTTATCTAAACTAAAATAAACAAGTCTAGCTGTATCAACATCAGTTAGTGAGCAAATTTTTTTAGCCGCGTAAGCTGCAGAACTAAGTCTCTTGGCCAATCCGTTAATATGAAGGGACCACTGAAGTATTGAATCCATGGTGATTGAAAGAAATACAGTTGTATCATCCAAATTCAACTCCTCATCATTTATAATTGGTCTAGTATCCATGACCCTTGCATTTTTTGCACAAAATTTAATGCATTTAGACAGACATAACATTTATTACAAACAAAAATACATACACATTAACACACAAAATAACAATAATCAAATAAAAAATAAAATGAGAGATATCAAAAACAATAAAAAATTAATAAAAAAACCCTTTTCCCATTCATTCATTTCGTTTTTTTTGCATTAAGTAGAAGGTTATTCATACTAAACCAATGGACAATCGAAGAGAGAGCATTGTTCACATCGTCAAAATGTGTTATTTGTCGTTTGATTTTAAGAATCAAGGACGTATCATTAGAAAACAAAACTATCTGATGTTTTTTCTCTACCATGAAAGGTAGATCATTTATATAAACAAGAAAGAGGAAAGGGCCAAGAATTGTACCCTGTGGTACCCCCATATCTACTGCCGACCCAGAGGACCTCTTAACATTCACTTCAACCTTCTGAGTTCTAGCGTATAAGTAGTAAGTCAGAAGATTCAGTGCGGTATTCTTGATGCCATAGTGACGGAGTTTCCTGATTAAGGTCTCATCTTGGACACAATTAAATGTTTTGGATAAGTCGCAGAAAACACCTAAAGCGTCATGCGACTCCTCCCAAGCCTTAACTATATATCTATTTTATTTTATTTTAAACATGTTATTATTCCTTATGCAAATAAATATATTATATATTTATGATGTCAGTCAGGTGTGTCTCAAATCGATGTGATTAAAATCACTAGGTACTTTTATTTAATAAGGTTGATTTAGTGAAAGGATTCTTCAAGAATAGCATATTAGGAGTTATAAAAATAATGATAATAATTGAATACATATAAAAAAATTAAAAGAATATTGACACATTTATTATATATATATTTGTCTATTAAACTGCCAATCTGTAGATATCAATAGAGTACTGAGTCACTTCTATACAAGTATTTGTTTTTCTCAGAGAAATGAATCATTCAGTTATTTACAAAATATGATTTACATGAATGAAATGAGTTTTAATGAGCTTGTATAATAGTCCTCTAAAGTAGTAGTTTGTACATAATCCACTTATAAATTTCGAATGAATATGGTTAAGAGGTGTTATATATAAATGTATAAAAACAAATAATAATATAAGGCCTGTTTAGAGTTAGCTACAAGAACATATGTATACATTACAGGGCGATGAAGAAGAAAAATGGGCAGAGAAAGCCGTGGATAGTCTGGTTAAGAAGTTGAAAAAACGAAAAGGTGCTATTGAAGAATTGGAGCGTGCTTTGTCCTGTCCTGGAACGCCCTCAAAATGTGTAACAATTCCACGATCATTGGATGGCAGATTGCAGGTCGGTCAATCTTAGTACAATAATCCCCCCTATAACGCGTTTACGTATAACGCGATTTCCGTCCCCCAAGTACCATGTAACGCGCCGTAACGTTTTTCTGTACCCAAGTACAGTAAAACGTTTCGTGAGCACCTAGTGACTCTTAAGTTATCATTATGTGGCGTAAAGTACTGGAAAGTCGAAAATAATATTAACAATAACGCGTAATTCAATCCCCGCCCCGCATCGTAACGTTTTACAAAAGGACCCCTCCCCCCAAAATTCGTTACGTAATACTTGAACGCTCCCAAAGCCACATATTCTACTTTATTAAAGATATAACATACCATAATACGAATGAGAGCCCGAACTGCCGGGAACATCTAGTTTGATAGTTAGATAATTGATGATAAATTTTACGTTTACACACACACACACATTAAGTGTATTTATTACTTCTGTATTTTAAAGTTTTTAAACACATGACTGTTAATACTTTGGGAGAAATTTATAATTAAAATTACATTTCAGGTATCCCACCGCAAAGGTCTCCCACACGTGATTTACTGCCGAGTGTGGAGATGGCCAGACCTACAGAGCCACCACGAGTTGAAACCTCTAGAAATCTGCCAATACCCCTTCAGCGCCAAACAGAAAGAGGTTTGCATCAACCCATACCACTATAAACGGGTCGAAAGTCCCGTACTACCTCCAGTCTTAGTTCCTCGACATTCCGAGTTCGCGCCGGGACATTCGTTGTTACCTTTTCAAAGAACCACCGAACCGTCTATGCCCCACAACGTGTCCTACTCGGGGTCAGGTTTCCCACCTTCGGCGTCATCCGAATTACCTGATACACCTCCACCGGCTTACTCCCCACCGTCCGATGACTCCGAACCGCCCGGGGAAGTCGCTCCGGTTTCCTACCAGGAGCCTCTCTATTGGGCCTCCGTCGCCTACTACGAGCTGAACTGCAGGGTAGGAGAAGTATTCCACTGCAACTCCCACTCGGTCGTGGTCGATGGATTCACAGATCCGTCGAACAATAGCGATCGGTTCTGCCTCGGCCAACTCAGTAATGTGAATAGGAACTCGACTATTGAAAACACTCGACGTCACATAGGAAAAGGAGTTCATTTGTACTACGTAGGCGGAGAAGTGTACGCGGAATGTTTGTCGGACGCTGCGATATTTGTCCAAAGTCGGAACTGCAACCATCATCATGGCTTCCACCCTTCCACAGTGTGTAAAATCCCACCCGGCTGCTCGCTAAAGATATTCAACAATCGTGAGTTCGCGCAATTGCTCTCGCAGAGTGTTAATCACGGTTTCGAAGCGGTGTACGAGCTCACGAAAATGTGTACTATCCGTATGTCGTTCGTGAAGGGCTGGGGGGCGGAATATCATAGACAAGACGTGACTTCCACCCCCTGTTGGATCGAGATTCACCTTCACGGGCCCCTCCAGTGGCTGGACAAAGTTCTCACTCAGATGGGCTCCCCTCACAACGCGATTTCGTCCGTGTCTTAGCCGGGTTATAATCTCACAAATTATCTGCATTTTTTTTATCGTGCCATTTTCAAAATTCCCAAATCGTGATGTCTCACTGTGACATCTCAAATGTTAGACGTATTGTATCATATTTTTTATAAATCGTAGCTCAAATTACGTGTCCAAGCTTAAGGAATGTAACGTAAGTATATGTATTAATATAAAGACATACTATAGTAATGTTTATACTCGGGAATGTATGACAAGAGAAGATATTATTTGTGTAAATAAAATACACATATTTTAAATAGTTCTTATTTTATTTTTAGCGCTCACAGGGTTACTAAAAAGATAGGTGCTATCAGCAAGTTCTCCAGTGTCATATACACCATTATATTCCAAGTAATTATTTAATTTTGCGCTCCTTAAACCCAAAATAAAAAAATACATATGGCATGGATACAGCCTGCTTCGACCGTTTAATTCTGTTAGAAATACTGGGCAATGCGCTTAAATTTGCAGGAATATATGAAGTTAGACTAATGATAAAAAACCCGAAGTAATTACAATAATACCACAAATGTTCCTCAAAATCCGCATAAACATATACTGTAATTTATGCTGATAGTACATAAGGAACAAAGATATACATTTTATCTGACACTGTAGACTTATGTTATTTTGAGCACAATATTACACTTTAAGTATGTTTATAAGCCAATTCGGCTCGGAAAGCGCGGCTCCCTTTATCGGCTAAAGAATTGTGATTTGTTATTTTTAATTTGTAAATAATTTGGATTTTGAAATTATGTTGGGGCCACGCAGCTTATTTGTAAGTTTAATGTTAGTTAACTATAGATATACAGACATGGCGATATCGTGGTTCAATTAGTTCCAATAGTGTAGTACTCCCTTGTAATACAGGGCTACCATGTTGTCTAGTGGACTATAAAAGACAATAATACTGTTCTTCATTTCTATTTCGTGTAACTCTCTTCTGTAGCTCAAGAAGCGTCGTGGTAAGCTAGGTTACATCTGTGCCGAGTGCCTCTCTTTATACAGTCATTGGTCTAGTGGTTAGTACCCCTGACTGCGAATCCATGGGTCCCGGGTTCGATCCCCGGCTGAGACAAACATCGATGTGATGAGCATTTGGTATTGTGCTTAGGTCTTGGGTGTTTTAATATGTATTTATATGTATATATCTATATATGTATGTATATCCGTTGCCTAGTACCCATAACACAAGCTTCACCAGCTTAGCATGGGACTAGGTCAATTGGTGTGAATTATATTTAAAAAAATTGTGCGTGTACTAGGTGTACACACGTAAGAAGTGAAACTTCTTTATGATCTTATTTTTCGAAAAATGATCTACTATATGCAACTTTACAGAAATTCGTTAAATTAGATAAAGTTTAACAAAAGGCTTTTATTATCATAGACATGAATACAAATATTTCATTTTACCTTATCACTACGAAGATTATTATAGAATTTCATTAATTGTAATAGAATTATTACTATCATTGAAAAACGTGACGATTTTCTACAAAATTTCTCCCATACGTCGATAAAGAAGTTTCATTCCAACGCCGATAAAGAAGTTTGACTTCAAAAAGCAACATGGCGCGTAACCGAAAAATGTGACGCGTAACGAAAAAATGTTACACTAAATTTTTTTCCAACTTCGATAAAGAAGTTTCACTTCAATAAAGTCGATGTGTATTTCACTTGATAGGTCCATTTGGTTGGTGAACGGCCTCGCGATTCTTGTGTGAACCATGAACCGTTACACCAAGTTCTCATCGTCTACACAGTATTATTGGCTTTTAGATTAGGAGGCCAACGTTATAAGGATATGACAACTAGCTAGGTTCTAGTATTATTTAAAGCAATGTAATAATATGACGTTTGTCTTGTGGTCCAAAGACAAATGTGGTAAATTATACGGCAGTAACGCATTTTATAAGAGTTAAAGTAGATTATTAAATTGTCTGCTACTATACGACCCATGATGAATGTTGAATTTAGCTGAGACTCAAATTGTTGCCCAATATTTGCGCAAATCGTTGAACGTACAGAAGACAATTTAATATTCTATGTACCTATGTAAAAAATTTATTCTGAAGTGACTTATTTTCTGGTGTTATAACAGTTGTTATATTATATGAAACGTTGTATAAAAAGGCAAACGAACCAAAGTAGAGTAATTTCGACGTTTTAGTGGAGTTTGATAAATTTAGACATTACATGAATTTTACTTTGTATTTTAATTTAAAGAAACTAGAAGAAGAACGTTTAGATAGCTCAAAACAATGCTAGGAACTCGTAAATTGCATGTTTTTAAAATTCGTTTAAATCAATATGTATAACTACATACTGTATTTTGACTAAAATCATTGACATTATTACTAACATAAATTGAGGGTACATGAAAAATTACCAACGTGTAGAAAATGTGAATTTTCTAGTCCATTTTTGGACTTTCATATTTTACATATTACAAATAGGTGCATTCGGCCAAATCGGGACCGCCAACTAAAGATTTTATTGATCTCAATGTAATGTATAAGGTTTCTTTAGTTCCTACTAAAGATTCTGGCGCGTCCCAAACTAAGAATTAACAAACACAATTGTGACATACAGTGCCTTTACTTGGGAAGTTGTGTTTGTCTCCTTTTGTTGTATTATGTGGGAAAGAGATGCAATGAGCTCTATGTAGAAGTCTAAGTTAAATCTGCTTAAGGTGTTGCTTATAAGACAGCAAGACTATATAAACAATCACTCAATCGTGTGCCTATACAATATAAATTGTATACCGTCCGAAATGCCTGTTTGAATTGTGTTATAGCCTATTCCAATCATTATTTTAGTTAATTTCTGCATATTTCAAGTTACGAAAGGGAGGGTAGTCTTGTCATATTGTGTACATTGTGTACCAGTGTTCCCCAATCAAATTTTTTTTGTCTAATTTAACTTATTTAATTAAAGTCTTATGGACTTTAAAGAATGAAGCACAATATCAATATATATATCTTATATATTCTTCGTTGTTTGTTGTCGCGCTTAACACAACGCCGTCATAAAAGCATGAAATGATGATTTTAGACAGATGCATTATTACATTAAGGGTCTGTTTCGAACTCTATGCAGCGGTTTTCGAATCGGCGGTCGCTACACATAAATCAGTCGTGAAGCAGTCATTTTATGATTTGGCATTCTCGGATAAACAATAATGGACTTCAAGTTCCCATTAGCGCTTTTCACATATTTGAGAAACGCAACAATAGCGTTTATCCCCGATAAGAAAAACCGCTTTTTGGAATTCTGTAGAACTAGTGAGGTTACACGTATCAGGTTAAACAGGGCTTATTGTTGGTATTATTACTTTAACAGATGCGCTAATGGTCACTAAGTCATCATGAAGCTATGGTCCGATGAATTTCAAAGAGCAAATAGCTTCCAAATAGTTTAAGTATTCCAGAGCTATGGTACGTTATCCATACATTGTGAAATATACCCTAAGTATCTTAAAGTAAATGATTGAATAGGCTGCAACATAAAGTATTTCCAGAATACATAATATTATGCTAACAATAACCTATTGTGAAGATTTGAAGATTTTAATCTGTGCCTTGTGCAAATCTATAAATTCACCGTCACATTTAGTGCCTACAAACTGATAATGCCTTATAAATTATATAAATTGTTTTATAAATTAAATGAGTAACATGGAGTGGACAGGAAAGATGTAAAATGAAAATTATTATTCATAGTTTATTTATGAATTTTAAATACAATGCTAGCTTGTAACATGCTAACAGCGATTCCGTTTTCAATATTAAATGTACCACGTAAATCCAACTTTCATACAAAACATGGGTTTCATGACGTCTTGTTTATTGGAATCGGGACTTTGTTGGAAATCCTTTGAACGGAGCTAGGCTAGTAAGTTCGGCATCATTGTATTATTTACTATAAAACTCATTTCCATTCTGTCATACCATTCCAAGTTATGGAAATAAATTCAAAATGTTATTTTTTTGCATTTTTTAATATAACAATTGTTTTTACAATTTCTGTATTGGACTTTTATACTATCGAATTATTTTTTATTAAATGACAGCTGTACTCTGAGCCAATTATATTAATGGTTGATATTATATAAGTAAAGAAGGGTGCAACTCCGCTTTTTATAAACTTTAAAATGGAAAGCTAGTAAAAGACAAGAACTTTTCAAATTATTAATAACTTAGAACCATTAATTCGTAATAAACGCCTTTGAGTGCGGCCGTTAGATGTAAATAAATACTGTTTCCTCAAAATTATGTTGGTGCTTCTGAATTGTTTATTGTATTTACATATTGTAAATAAAATGTGATTTTAAAATAGAAATTGTAACGAAATTTTGTGTTTTAAGTTAGGGGTTAAATTTTTTATTAGACGTGTTTTAAAATTAAACCTCCTTACCGATAAAATGCTCAGTGATTGTCGGTAAATTTTTTGCCGCTTTAAAATTCGGCTGGACTGTAACTCCCAATAACGATTGCAACTGAAATTGAGTATATACCGTACCTATAGGCGATCTTAAGCTAGTAACAGCGCTATAAATATTGAAATAACTATGGAAATTGGGTACAAAAACTCTGTATAGAAGTCTTCGATCGCTATTGGAAATTACTAAACATAGATGGTGTTATTATATAATGTACAGTGATAAAATAGGTGTACAATTTGGCTGCATGTATTGTTTGGGCTCGTGTGGGAAATTTTAGAATCTTCTGTGTGATTTTACTTTGTCTAGCTACAAATGTTTGACACAATCAGACAGGGTTAGTGTTACGCATTTTAAGGATAATATAAGGAATTAAAAGATGCCATTGTTCGTGTAACTTTTATCATATTTTTCTCTGTATAATAAAGTTTCCTTTATTTACATTTTGGTGTTTTTTTGTATGGCGCCTTTTTCCCGAAGTGGTAGGCAAAGACCTCGGGCCTGAACTTGTTATGTCTTAATTATTTTATTACATGCTGTG